CCTCCACCCACCCCGCAGACCAGCCCCTGCCTCTCCTCTGTCCAGCTCACCCCAAGGCCCTGCCCACCCCTCCCTGTGACTCAGGGCGAGGAGTCAGCTTCCCGAGGTTTCCATATGTCCCCGGCCCCTAACACACAAGAGCAAGCATCTGCACAGTTCATCACACCTACCCAGCCTCCCTGCCCCTGAGCTGAGCCTCACTTCCTCCCTCCCTGGGGAGAGGAGCTGACCTCCAGCCGGCTGAGGTTCCCAGGCCTCCAGCCTCGGAGGAAGAGGGGGCGGGCTCTGAGAGCTGAGAGGCGGGTCGAGGCTGTAGGGAGGGGGAGGGGGCTAGAGCCTGAGCTGGGAGGAGCTCCCAAAAAAAGAGCTGAACAAGGACCAGTCCCAGCACCAGCCAGGCAAGGAGTAGTTAAGAGAGAAGGGGATGGTAACCTGATCTCTGCCCCAGACCTGGCTTTTTCTCTCAGTCCCACATCCTGTCAAACTGGGCTGAACTCTTGTACTCCCCACATACCACCACCTCACAGCCTGGCTTTGGTCTGCCTTTTAGGAAAGCGAATTCTCCAAGCCCAAAGCTAGTTCTCTTCAACAGTAGGATCCTGGGTGGCCTCCCGCCTACCTACACACACACACACACACACACACACACACACACACACGTACAAAACTGGGATGAGAGGAAGTGGATATGAGTCAGAGAGAATTTATAGGAGTTCAGAGGATACAGCCACACACTCCCCACCACAAAAGGGGCTCTCTCTCTCTGATACCCCAAGACAGGCAAGAAGGCATTCACCCTGCCAGCCGATCTCCTCCAAAACTGGAAACCACCTTCAAAAAGGGGGTTCCCCGGAAATTCTGCCCAGGTGATCAACTCCCCCCACCCACTCCCACTGGTTCCATTGGTCCAGCTGTGTGGAAAAAAAAAAAAAACAGGCTGGGGTAGCCCTGCCTGGGATGGGCAGTGTTGATGAAAGACAGTCACCACCAGGGTGAGTACCAGTTGTTTAGGTGTGAGGATGCCACTACCTGCCTGCAGCAGGACAGTTTAGATGACACCCCATGGTGGGAGCCACAGGCCAGAACTCAGGGGCAAGGGCATGCATTAAGTACTCTGAAGCCCCCAGCTCAATTAGAAGACTTTCCCTTCAGGCTCTCAGTTGGGCAAGAAGGGCAGCTGGCCTAGGCCAAGCCAGGACACCAGGCCCAAGGCCAGCATGGCAAGGACAACAGCTCCCTATTAGAGGCAGCCCCAGAAGAACTGCCCCACTGACCCTAAGATGGGCAACCAAACACCACACAGAGGCTGGAATGGAGCCTGAAGCTCCTGGAGCCTTCCCTGAGACCAGACATCCCGCCCTCTCCTCAATCATTCTCTAGACTTCCAGATGAACCAGAGGTAGGCTGTACAAAGCGGATCAGCCCTAAGGTCTAGGAAAGGAATCAGATACCACCTCAACTTTAAAACCAGAAGTGAGAATAGGACGCAGCCTTGCATCCTCCCAGCCCAAAGCCCCAGGATAATCCTGGGTTGGGGAGTGTAAGGGAGGGGTCTGGAAGGGAGGAGATTCTTACTTACACAAAAAGGAGCTGGATGCTTCCCAATCTCCCCTACCTCCCGCCCCAGGCACACTCCAGGAAGCTTCTGGGGAGGTGTCCAGACCTCTCCGAGCAGTGGCAGCCCCCACTGGCCACACCACGCCCCTATTCCCGCCATTCCACCGGCCTGGCCTGGGGGAATTCCCACCTCCACCCGGATTTGTGCCCGGACCCACACCCCACCCCAGGTCCACATCGGGCCGCCCAGCTTGGGAGCTACAGCGTCTGGAGTTGGGCTCCCTCGCGGAGACCCAAGTTGCCTCCTGGCTTCTCGCCCGGCGGGGCAGGTTCCGGGAAGCCGGGAGGGGAAAGGCAGGGACCCAGGCTCGGACACAGGAGCCGAGAGGCCCTGCGGGGCAGTTCCCGGAGCAGGGGGGAGAGGGGGTGGGGAGGAGCCCTCGCTGCAGCCCAGGGAGGGGCCGAGAGGGCCCGACCCCCGCACAGCCCAGACGCCGCGTCCCGAGGGAAGGAGGGCGGCCCGCGCTCTGTCCAAAGCCCCCTCCCCGGGCGGCGCCCGGAGCTCCGGCCCAGAGGAGGGGAGCGAAAGTGCTCTCCCGGGGTCGAGTTCCTGGGACGCCCCGCCACCCTAGCCCCCGGCCCGGGTACCTTCCGCTCCGCTGCCTCCAGCTGCGCGGCCAATGCGGGAGGCTGAGACTGACCCGGGGGGCCCCGCCCCGCCCTCCTTCAGCGCAGCGGCGGGGAGGGGCGGACCCGGCTGGGGGAGGGACCGGCCGGGGGCGGCCCTTGGCTCTGCCCGCCCACCGCCCAGCCGGGGGCCACAGCTGCAGGCCCCCGCCGCTGGCCGGGGGTCGAGGGTGGGATGCCGGGCGGGTTGGGGAGTGGGCGGCGGGTGGGCCCCCTCGAGGACTCAGTCTCTGCTCCGCCTTCCAGCCCCCAGGGGTGGACCGGCGTCGGGAAAGTTGCGAGGCACTCGGGGTGGGGTCGGAAAGGGCCGCTGCTGCCCTCCCGTGGCCAACCGGCCACCGGCGCCTACACGCCCCGGGACCTCGCGGGAGGGGGGCTGCGGAAGATGCCCGCCCTCCTCTCGTAAAATCCTGCGGAGTAAGTACCGCTCAACATCACTCCCCAACCTTGAGGACCTTTCACATCCTTTGAGACCCAGGTCACCTTTCCACTTCACAATGCCCGTCCTTCCCCCAGCCTGGAGTTTCCATGAGTCCAATTACTGTGCACCCCTCAAAGGGCGCTCCTTGAAACCTTTTCTGATCCCCAGCTGGGAAGTCAGCTTCCATCCCCATTGCATTATTTCGGTGCCGCTAGGGACACTGCCCCGGTCCATTATGTCGCCTTGGGTATTTACCTGCACGGGTATCTCTTTTCCTGTTGAAGTGGCTGAGAAGGTTGGAAGGTGAGGAAGCCTACCAATATTTCATTAGCTTGTGACCTATACGCTATATAGCTCGGCCCTTTTAATACTCATCATGGATCTTTGGGTTAAGTATACCCATCTCAGTTTGCCTGTAAGGATATTGAGGCTCAGAGAAGTAGCTTGCCCAAATTTTTGCTATTAGTATGTACCTGAGAATTCAGACAGGCCTGTGTGGCTCCAGAGTTGGTGCTCTCTCCCTGCTGTCCTTTATGCTCTCCCCACCCCCCATCCCTCACCACTGCCTAGCACACTGCCTGGCACACAACAGGTTTTCAAGACATAATCACTGAATGAATGAATGTCAGCAGTCACGCAGATTTTAAAGATCTGAAGTGCAACCCACACATTTGATAAATGAGTAAACTGAGGTCCAGAGAAGTTTGGTCCCCAGACCTCTTAACTGGCTCAGTAAACACGCTGCGTGTGAGTGGAGACCTATGTGCTCAGTTCAAATTGATTTCTGTCTTCAAAGAACTTACAGTCTAAATTTGGAATACAAACAACTTAAAGATAGCAAGTTATTGATCCCTTATTACATGCACCTGGGTCTACATACACACATGGACTACTTTAGTCTTACAACAATTCTAGAAGGTAGCACTGCTATCTCCGTTTTGCTGAGAAGCAAACTGAGGCTCAGAGAGGTTGCAGAGCTCGTGGTAGGTCTGGCACCAGAACCCAAACAGCTGGACTCTAGAGCCTCTGCCCTTAACTGCTACTCCATACCCACTACTTTTTTTTTTAATGTATATTTATTTATTTTGAGAGAGAGAAAGAGTGGGGAAGGAGCAGAGAGACAGAGACAGACAGAGAGAGAGAGAGAGAAAGAGAATCCCAAGCAGGCTCCTCACTGTCAGCACAGAGCCCCACGTGGGGCTTGATCTCATGAATCATGAGATCATGACCTGAGCCAAAATCAAGAGTAGGTCGCTTAACCAACTGAGCCACCCAGGCGCCCCCATACCCACTCCTAGTGTAGACAGTTACATTACAGCCGGCAGTGGCTGTAGTGGGGGCATGCATGGGCTGTGGGATCCCTAGCCCCGAAGGACAGGTGAAGTGTTCCAGATAAGGTGATGTGTAGACGTTAAATGAGTTGGAGCCACAACAGGCCCAAAGAATTATGGAACCCCCAGGAGGGTGGAGGTGGGGCTGAAAGATGGGGCTGGAGAAGGAAGCAGTGGCTAGATTATGAATGTCCTTGTATGCCATACTCAAGAGTTGAGTGTTGATTTTGGTCTAGGTGCACTAGGAAGCCACCGAAATGTTCTCTCAAGAAGGAAATAACCAATCAGATTCACACTGTGGAAAGGTCACATTGGGGCATACAGGGGCGTGGAGTTAGGAGGCTAATGTAGTAGTAACAGTTGGGGTGGGGACAAATACGAAATATATTTTGTAACATATAATCAACAGTATGTAGTGATTGATTCACTTGCTGAGTAAAGACAGACGCCAAAGGTGACCAACTCCAAGATTTCTAACTTGAGCCGATAAGCTGGTGCCCACTGGCATGGTGAACCAGAAGACACGCGTTTGTAGGGAAATGGTGGATTCTGACATACGTTGAGTTGAAGTGCCTGTGGGATGTCGAGGAGATGTTCAGGAGACAAGCTATGTGAACATCAAGTTCAGGAAAGACCTGGGCTGGAAATACTGACTTGGAAAACGCCAGCAGGTGGATGAAGCCATGGACATGGATGAGAGCACGTGGAGTGGGAAGAGCAGAGGGTGGAAGAAGGAGCCTGGGAGCACTACATATTTAGGACGGCTTTGGGGGGTTCTTTCCACCACCTGAAAGGGCCTTTCAGTTTCTAATCAAAGTAAATAAAGACACACGTTTTATCCATGTGGTTTATTTGCCATTAGCTATAATTCTGGATCTAACTGACACCCCTTCTTCAGTTAAGTTGGCACTAAAGAAGGTCAGGGAGACAACTTCTGATTTGGGTTGGCAGAGGGTAAGCATGGAGAGGCTAGGATGGTGGGGGCAGGGGCAGGGCTGAGCCCCTCAGGAGTAACTGCCTGGCCCTCCCAGGGGGATGACGAAGACCGAGATGTCATCCCCGGAACCCAGCTTGTTGTTGGGGAGACGCCAGCCACGGTCCCGGGGGGTGCCCCGGGCCCCCAGGACCAGAGCTTGGGCCAGAGCCGTGTACCTGCCAGGAGCACACGTGCACATTCATGTACCAACATGTAAATGGGAAGATCGATACACAGGCCCTCATGTGGGTCCCCAAGCATTGCTTCCCTTTGCCCCTACCTTCCCCACTGTCATTCCCCCCCACTGCCCTACAACTCCTACCTGCTGGGGTCATTGGGCTCATAGGCCGACAGCACCCTGTCCACAGTGGCAGCTACCTCACAGTCACTGGTGACGTCCCACAGCCCATCTGTTCCCAGGACTAGCACATCATCCGGGCAGTGTTCATACTGTGTCAGGTCATACACTCGTACCTGGTGGGAGAAGAGAGTGAAGAAGAAGCTTGGGGACAAAAGGACCCTGGTAAGAAGCCAGCCTGAGGCCCCCAGAGGAGGGAAGGAATGGTTGAGGTAGCCCCCATTCGGCTCACCTCAGGGAAGCAGGAGAGGAAGGGCTTGATGGGCAGAGTGGAGCTGCAGACCTTGAGGTTGTGGTCTCCCAAGCCCCGGGTCACCCCAATGGTGGCCATCACTCGAGCCTAAAGGGAATGAGTGTGGGTGCTGCCACAGCCCTCTCCCAGGCTCCAAAGCTGTGGGCCCTCCCACCCCTACCCTCAGGTAGAACCTCCACCTCCCTAGACAAGTTGTGGTGGGTCCTCCTGCCCTCTCCCACCTCTACCGTGGAGTTTACCTTTTTGCCCTCCCCACAGACCAGAGGAAACCTGAGATCCTCCAGCTCGATCTTTTTGTAGGCCCTGGGGAGGGGGGAGTACAGGAGGCATCACCCAGGCATCAAAGCCCCCCCTCCCCTAGGAGCCATGCCCCTCACACAAACCCCTAAGAAGGACCACATCCCCCCAACCCCCAGCCTGGCCCAGCCTCCAGCTTCCACCTTGCTGCTGGTGAGGGACTGGTTGTGTTGCCATGGGAACGTGCCCCAGCTCTGAGGGAAGTGTTACCAGCCGGTCATGTTCTGGTCCCGGTACAGCATCCTCTGCCCCAGCTCCTTGGGCTGAATTCTGCGGGGGAACTCAAGGTGGGTGAATTCACCACCTAGCAGCTCTGGTTTCAGGAAGCCCTGAGGTTGGGAGTGGCCAGACAAGAGCAGAGGCCAGGGAGCATTAGGCTTACAGCACACTCTGGTGTATAGATGTTAATTACAGTAGGGCCTTAAATGGAGTTTACCATGTACCACGCGCTGTTCTAATACTAACGTATAGGAGCTCATTTTAACCCTCACAACAACCCTTAAGGCAGGAACTAGTGTTGCCAGGGAACCGTCTGATGATCAGTTAGCAAAGTATTCCAACTGGGATTCAAACCCAGGCAGTCCAGCTCCAGAGTTAGGACTTTAAAGCACTAAGCCACACTGCCTCTCATGGGCCTTTGCTATTTCCTTTCCCCACTTCTGACTCCACTTCCTTCCTCAGCTGGGGCCACAGTGGGAGCACTGGAGTAACCCACGTTCCTTCCTCCTACATGTTCCACCAGGTCAGCCGTAGTCTGCAGAATAGCCTTCCCAGTGAGCAGGTGAGGAGCTGTCTGTGCAGTAGGGATGGGGACATAGGCTACAGAGAGCCACAGAGTCCACAAAGAATGGGAGTAGAGCGTTTAGTTCCTACTTACAAGCAGCTGAAGACGCTGGCGCTCAGTCTCCGGGGTGAACTCCCGGGACATTGGAATGATTTCACCATTCCGGACAATGATGGCTCTGCCCAGAGAAAGAAAAGGTTTGGGCTTGGCTCTCCTCAGCCCCCTTGTGGAGAATTCCAGAAAGACCAGGCTTTCCCCATAATGACCCTTAGGGTTCCTCACCCAGACCCCCATCTTTCCTCCCCTTGTGGCTATTTCCGGTCCTTCCTTATGTCTGTAACTGCTCCTGACCCCATCCCTCCCTCCAGTTTTTGATTTTTAAAGCCCACCACCTCACTGTCTTCTATGCCCCCATCCCAGAGAGTGGGACCCCCTGTAGGCATTTTCAACCCCCCCACCATACCTGCTGTCACCTGCATTGGCCACATACACCTTGCCTAGCAAGTAGACTACAACCAGTGCACAGCAGCCCCCCTCCACTTGGTGGCCGCGCCGCTCCCGGGCCATCTGCTCATCCTGCCATGTGAAGGAGGGTCAAAGGGGTGAATGAAGAAGAGGTTCCAGGCACACAACCACCGCCCCATCTGCAGAAATAAACTGGCCCAGCCAAGCCACACTGGAGGAGAGGAGGGAAGACATGGGTATAGCTAATACTCCTTCCCTCCCTACTGAACCAAGCTCTGCTCAGGCCCTCAAAGGTGTTGTGGGTTCTCAGGGTCACCCACTTAGGCCACTTGATCCCCATCCAGAGTTGACCAGAGGGACTGCCTAGCAGGCTCTTGCCAGGACCACCCACTCACCATAAACTGGAAGGCATTCTCAATCGCCCCCACTACCAGGCTCTCATGGGTCACTTCCTTCTGCGAAGACCAGCAGGACTGAGGACCAACCAAGTGAGAAGGATCAGAGGAACCTGTGGCCCCTGGGGTAGACGGGAGGCAGAGGGGAGGTGGCGAGGGGTCCTGGAGTATCTCTACCAGGTCTTTTAGCTGCTCCCGGATGTGGCGATGAAGGAGCCTGGAGGCCATTTCGGCAGCTCCGCCCCCTGCATGCCCATCAAACAGGCCCCAGTAGTAGAAGCAGAGTCCCTGGTGGAGGAAAAGTTGGAGGTGAGGGGGAGAGA